ACACATTTGAAGGAGCAGAAGTTGGGGCTACTGTTGTTTCACAGTGAGTTAAGCTGCCACCTGCGACATCAGCATACCATGATCAAGTCCCAGGTGCTCCCCTTCAATCCAGCTCCCTGCTGAAGGCCCAGGAAAGCAGCAGAAGATGAAGAGCTCCCAAATACCTAGGTCCCTGCCACCCACTTAGGAGACCAAGATGGAGTTCCTGGCTCCTGGTTTCAACCTGACTCAGCCTGGCTGTTGGAGCCATTTGGGAAGTAAAATAGTGTGTCACTCTGCATTTCAAATAAATAAATAAATAAATCTTTTTTAAAAACGAAAGATAAGTTTATAATTTTGAAATCCAGTTTTTTAACTTTTTAATCTTGTGCTTTGAATGCTCAATCTAAGAAATCTTTGGGGCCGGCACTGTGGTGTAGTGGGTAAAGCCGCCACCTGTAGTGCCTGCATCCCATATGGGTGCTGGTTCGAGACCCGGCTGCTCCACTTCCAGTCCAGCTTCCTGCTAATGCTGTGTGATAATCCAAGTACTTCCAGTGGTGTTGCAGGTGGTGGTTTAATGTGCTGTGCCACAACAGTACCCATAGAATTCTTTCTTAGGATAATTTTTGTCATTTTCTTTCCTGAGTTCAATTGATTGATTGATTGATTGAACTGTTGCTTTGTTTCTGTTCTTTGTTTTTGAATTTCTGATTCAAGGTGGTTTTTCCTTATTTCCTAATGTTTGAATTCCAATTGAAAGTTTGTGTTTGTGGTTGTTTTTGAGAAGGCTTTCACCAGATAAAGTGCTTGGGGTTCCATTGTTTCCCACTTAGAATAGCTTTGTATGATATTTAGGATGCTTCATTTTACTGCATTGCCGTTTATGGATTTAGAATTGGCCATGCCTGGCTCAACATCGCCCTCTGCCGTCAGTGTGGTGGAGTACAGTTCCTCTAAGGGCTGATTTATTTTCGAGTGGTCATGGTGTCCCTTCTCTTACTATTTGCCTATTCCGGTTTCACAGTCTCATACTCTGCTTTCACTGATGGTCTCTTTATCCCTTAGATTTTAAACAGATTCCTATCGAAGTTCTTTTCTGATTCCTTTGTCACCTGTGGTTATAGATCTCTTGTTTGTGACTCCCTGTTGTTGTGCAAAATCTTTGTGTGTGTGTTTGTGTATTGTAAAGTTTATTTATTTATTTATTTGAACGACAGTTACAGACAGGGATCGATCTATCTATGGGTTCATTCCCTCAATGGCCACAATAGCTAGGGCTGTGCCTGGCCGAAGCTAGGAGTCAGCAACTCCATTTGGGTCTCCCATGTGGGTGCAGGGGCCTAAACACTTGGACCATCTTCCGCTGCCTTCCCAGACACATTAACAGGGCGCTGGATCAGAAGAGGGGCAACCTGGACTCAAATCCATGCTCCGATGGGATGCTGGCAGCCCAGGCCGTGGCTCGACCTGCTGTGCCTCACATCCCTGCTAGGTGTGTCTAAAGTGCTGGGCAGCCCCCACTGCACAGGGTCCTCCCCGCACCACCCTGGGCCGTGTGCCGGCTTCATGGCTGCCTCCGCCATGGTTTCATGGGCTGGCCAGACTCGCCCCAGGCCATGCATTCCCAGCCCAGCTCAGGGTGCCTCATTTCTGGGGGTCCACACCAACGCAGTGGCCCACTCCGAATGCCAGAGTCCGTGTAAAGATGATGTTTCAGACCCACCAGCTGCAGATGGAAGCCTTTCTGGGCTTCCTCATCAGGTGACAAGGCAGCAACTTCTTGGCGGGGGAGGGGGAGGCTGCTGTAAGCCCCCCTCCCTGGCAGAGGGAAAGCCCTGTCAGCCCCTGGATAAATGAGCACCATCGCCAGCTCGTGCTTTGGTTCACCCATTTGTCTTTCCCAAAGAGACCCCTTGGTTCTCCCATCGTCCTCTTGGTTCTCCCATCGTCCTCTTGGTTCTCCCATCGTCCTCTTGGTTCTCCCATCGACCTCTTGGTTCTCCCATCGACCTCTTCTCCCTCTCCCTCTCCCTTATAACTGGGTACACAGGGAGAAGCCCCCGACTGTCGTCACTAAGCACTCCTGTGTGTGTGCGTGTTCCCCGCTTGAACAAACTTTGTTCTCCCGCTAATCCATCTTTTGTCAGTTCTAATTCCAGGCCCACAGCCACTGACTCTGGATCAAGGGCCCGTTTCCCCGCTCCCCACCCCCCACCCCCAGGATAGGATTCTGCTGTGGACAGGGCCCTGGGGGAGTGGGGTATTGTGCCCGAGTGGAGTGATGTGGCTGGCACTCTGGCGCCCTCTAGTGTCGAGTAGAAGGGTCTCGCCGCCGGGAGCCCTTCCCAGGGGGTGTTCACCCCCAGCCTTGTGTGCCTGTTTCCACTGCCACCATTTGTCCCTGTGCTTTCACGGTTTGATTATTGTTTAACTTTGTTTTGAGCCACTGAAAATCTTCCTCTTGTATTTTGAAAGACTCAGATAAATATATATTTAACATCTTATCCCCTATTCCTGTGGATTTAGAACTCAGGAAGAGGATCAGGAAGGCATTCACCCCGAGCGGTTTTGGGGTTTTTGAAAAGTGAGAATGACAATATTTATCTGAACTCAAAAACTGTCCTTTGATCCAATAATTCTGCTTCTGTAAATCTTACTTGAGGAAGTAATCCACAAAGAGGGGAAAAAAGGTTTGACGCACAAAAAAAGTTCATGGCATTATGATTTCTGATGATAAAGAACTGGGTATATTGTAAATATTTCCTGGCAAAAGGGAAATATTTAATGACAGTACGCAATCTAATGTTATGCGACTACTAAAAATAATATTTACAAAGTATAAATGATATTAAAAATACTTGCTATAATACAAGGAAGAAAGTTGTTTCTTAGCCATTTATTTTTGTTTTGCACTGGTGTGCATCTTAAAAATGTAAAAAGAATTGGAACAACACCAAAATGCTACCTGTATCTTGGTCAGTTTTTCTTTTTCTTTTCTTAATTTTCAAAATTTTATGTTATGCATGTGCATCACTTTTATAACAGGAAAAGACCTACATAAATATGTTGATGAAAAGATGAATGCTGATGAATGTGACTTAAGATAGGTGTGCTTCCCACGAGCACAGAGGGTGGACTGGCACAACCCGCACGATCAAGTCAAAGTCCGTGCTGGGTGCATGCACTCGCGCCACAGTGGCTTTGTGCTGTGGGATGATGTGTCGTGATCCGATGGACTGTTCAGCATCAGGGCACAAGTAGCACCCATTGGAGATGTGGAGCAAGAGGCAGAGCTAGAAGGGACTGGCAGGTGGCAAGAATCTGCTGCCTGTAGGTGCTGGCCAGGAGCCAGGTTGGCACGGCGGGAAGAGCGAGCCAGGCGACTGCCCTGCGGAAGTCTTGGCCGGGGCAGGACATGAGCCAGCTTTGACTGAGGGCTTGCTGTTTGTGCCAGGCAGTTTCAGATCCTGAAAATACCAGCTGCTGAGACTTCGCCTTCCTGGAGCTTCCAGTCCAGGGTAGGACTTGCACATTTTCTTCTTCTCCTCCTCCTCCTCCTCCTTTTAGAAAGGGCCAGAGAGGGGCCAGCACTGTAAAGCCACTGCCTGCAGTGCCAGTGTCCCATAGGGGTGCTGGTTCAAGTCTCAGCTGCTCCACTTCCCATCCAGCTCTCTGCTATGGCCTGGGAAAGCAGTAGAAGATGGCCCAAGTCTTTGGGCCCCTGCACCCATGTGGGAGACCCAAAAGAAGCTCCTAGCTCCTGGCTTCAGATTGGCGCAGATCCATCTGCTGTGGTCAGTTGGGGAGTGAACCAGTGGAAGGAAGACCCCCCCCCCCGCCACCTCTCTTCTCTCTCTGTGTAACTCTTTCAAGTAAAATAAGTAAATCTTTTTAAAAAAGAAAGGGCCAGATAATAAACATCCTGGGGTTGGGGGGTGGGGGGAGTCAGGGCTACACAACCTCAGTCAGGGCCCTGCCTCTGCCATTGTGGTACAGCTGCAGCAGCCACGGGGAATGGCAGGTGCATGGGTGTGACTGAGCCCCAGACACTCATTTACCAAACAGATGGTGGCTGGCTTTGGTCTGTGGCCATGGTGTGCTAACTCCTGACCTTGGTGGAAGATAGAGCATCAACAAGTCAATCAACCAATATGATAATTATCGATTGTAGCCATTGTCAGAAAGGCAGTAAAAAGGGTGATATGGAAAGGAATTGCCTAATATTTTACTTTTATTGAGATGTGACGTCCATGCAGTCAAGCACACATCTGGGCTGTTGTTGGTGTCCCGGAGCTGGCTCCTAAGTATTAGAAATCCTATGCACCGGAAGAGCTGAGAAAGGCTGATGATGGGCAGGAAGCGAGGGTGAGATGGGAGAGATACATCCTGGTGTGCTGTAGGCACAGTGGGGTGACGACAGCTAATGATAATGTACTGCGAATTTCAATAAGGACTTTTCACCACAGAGAAATGGTCAATGTTTGAGGAGATAGATGTGTGTACCCTGATTGAACATGACACTGAACACAATGTATTGAAATATCACCGGGCTCCCCATAAATCTCATTTTTCTGTGTCAGTTAAGACCAACAAAGAATGAGCTGGGCGGGGAAGACTTTCCAGGCGGAAGGAAGATCTAGTGCACCCAAGATCAGAGGCAGGGAAAAGCTGGCATTTCCCAGGAAGAGGAAGGGGCTCCGTGGTGGGATGGCAGTAGGCAAGGAATGGAGGATGGGGGCGGGGGGAGTGGAGGACAACCCAGCAGACCAGGATTCTGCTGTGAATATGTTGTACCTTATTCTCAATGCAACGGGAGAACAGTGCGGGGTTTTGAACGGAATGCCATGATGTCGCTGCGGTTTGAAGATGATCAGTGAACCATTGTCTTGTTTCCGGACTTTGGTATGGTGGTGTAAATTAGGGCTGGGGGCAGGGGACATCTTGCCTTAGCTAGAGCTGAGGTGGGACAAGTGAGGAGAATCCACCCAAGAACACCGGTACCACACACTATGTGCTGAACCACAGCATTGATTTTATTTCGTAGAGCACATCTGGGAATATTACTGGGATACAATTTATTGACACCTTAATTAGCGACTTGTTGGGCACTTAATTAACGGATGCCTCAAGAACTGTGTGTATTATTTATAACCAAGGACCTGAAAACAGCGCAAGCGGGGAGTTCAGAGGTGAGGGCAATGGGAAGGGCCGCGTCTGGAAGCAGCAGTGCGGGAGGAAGTCCCGTGGGCTCGGCTACCCGAGAGTGAGAGTGCACAATTAGCACCCGGGAGACCATCTGTGGCTGCAGGAGCCAGAGAGACTTTGCTGGATGGTGTGTGACCACGTTCTGGTCTGAGTTTCTGAAGGCATATTGTAGGGAATGGTCTGAAGTATCCTTTTGATGGAGAGGCAAACGCGGAACAAGAAGGAGGGAAAACACTTAGAGAAAAATGAGCACTTGGGGATCAGGCTCTTCTTCCTTCCCCTCCTCCCGTTCTCTCTTCCTTCTTTCTTTCCTTTTTTTTTTTTTTTTTTTTAATACACTCATTCCTCTGGATCTAAAGATTGGTTCCAGGATCCCCTGTGAATATCAAAATCCATGGATGTTCAAGCCTCCTGTAGAAAATTGGGTAGAGGCCGGTGCCGCGGCTCACTAGGCTAATTCTCCACCTGCGGCGCAGGCACACCGGGTTCTAGTCCCAGTCAGGTACCGGATTCTGTCCCGGCTGTCCCTCTTCCAGGCCAGCTCTCTGCTGTGGCCAGGGAGTGCAGTGGAGGATGGCCCAAGTGCTTGGGCCCTACACCTGCATGGGAGACCAGGAGGAAGCACCTGGCTCCTGGCTTCGGATCAGCGCGGTGCACCGGCCGCAGCAGCCATTGCGGGGTGAACCAACAGAAAAGGAAGACCTTTCTCACTGTCTCTCTCTCTCATTGTCCACTCTGCCTGTCAAAAAAAAAAAAAAAAGGGTAGGGTTTGGCTCTAACCTCTGCAATCCTCTCATACACTTTAAATTATCCCTAGACCATTTATCATACCAAATATAAACGCTGCATGAATTGTTACACTGTATTGTTTAGAAAATAGCAACAAGAAAGGAGTCTGTACCTCTTCAGCACAGGTGCGAACTTGCTTCCTGAGCCTTTCTAATCATGGCAGGTCGGACCTGGGAGCCGGCAGGACAGCCGCGTACAGGGGGCGAGAGGGAAGAAGAAATGCCATCAGGGTGTGCCATCTTCTTAGAGTTGTCCTGGAGCAAACAGGAAAATCTTCCTCCTTGTTTCCTGACATTCCAGTTGAACAGGACACCCCGCTAAGTTCTGCCATCCTACTCCTAGGGTCTTGGGTTGGCTGTCAGCTCAGCGAGCGCCCCCATCATTCCGTTAATAGCAGACGCCGCCGCCAGGGGGCAGCCGGGAGCCGTGCTCAATGGGAGGAGGGCGGTCCCCGAACGGGCACCCTGGGGCTGTCTTTTTGCCCCAACCTTCCTGGCACCCACAGCCCTTTCTCCCCACAACTGCCCACCGCTCACCCCAGATCCTGCTTTCTGAAAACAACTAAGCTACCAAGAAACACTGAATTCCCCTCTCAATGTAAAAGAAGTCCACAATACAGCGTGCGTCCTGCCTTCCCAATGAGTTGCCGTTATCAATTAACCCTTGCTCCTTTAAAAACCTAATCTAGCTTCCAGCACTCTGGGCCACTCCGTCACTACGGGACCTGGGCGTCCCCCACCCCCGCCCCGCTCCCTCCACGCCCTCCGCCATCTGCAGGGCCCCCTCCCACCTCGGCTGGTCACCATGGTTACGTGTAGCCCGTGGCTGAGCTGCTTCCCCCAGGGTCCCAGCTCCCCTCGGGGCTCTCTGCCCTCACCCTCCTTCAACGCAGGGAGGGAGAGGAACAGGATGCAGAAGAGGAAGAGAGCGAACGAGAATGAGCCTTCCCTTGGCGTCTTTGCCTCTTCTTCCCACCCCTTGCTTATGAGGAAGAAGCATCACAGATCCCGGCTCTTGCTCGGCCGGAAGCGGAAGTCCACCTGTCACAGGCAATTAGCATCTCTTGCCCTTGCGGCCCTAAGTACACCGAGTAAGGGCTTCCTTCTCTGAATATCCGATTCTGGAAGTTAAAAGGGTTAAATGAGCTGCAGGAAGAACACCGGTTCTGTCACGTGAGGGAGACACTGACATAGAAAATGGCGGCCAAGTCCATCCAGGCCCTGGCAGAGGACACCATGTAATACCAGCCCAGAACCACAGGCCCCGAGGAAAGGGAACTCCCGGGACCACAGAGAGGAAGCCTCTCCGACGGGTTTCCAGCAGCTAAGATGTTTTCCAGAAAGCTGTTGGGAGAGGAAGACCCTGAGTCGAAAAAGTTGGAATCTTTAACTTTTAGGGTCTCTTCAAGGGCTCGGGATGCCTTAGCAGCAACACTTTTGCCTGGATAGATTCAGTTTTGGTAGCAAAAGGAGTACCGGCTCCCTTTAAGCATCTGTGCGTCTGTCCAGACTGGCCAGGGCAGCCATTCTCTGCGTAGCAGTGGTCACTCCATGGTCCCTGGTGTTCACCTGCACACACAGGGCTGGGTGAGTCTCACTGTGTTTGGGGGGTGGCAAAATTCAGTCACATTCGGTCTCTGTGCTTACCCCCAAAAGAAAGGGAAACAGTCTAGGTTAGTGGATGGAGCTGGCTCTGTCATGGTGTGCGCCCGGTTCATCGTCACCTGAGTCACCGTACTGACCTTCCTGACATAAGGGTGGGGACAGAGGTCTGTAGGGAGACAAGAGGAAGGGGTTTATGGTATCTCCCCTGTGCCATGGAGGGTGGGCATCGGTGACACAGGTGATGAGTGGTAAACCCATGGTGACCTGCAGGAAAGGATCGGTGGGGTTTCAGGCTGAACTGAATTATTGATCTCAGCTGGGTTGTGAGGAGTCCATATTCTAGTCTTCAGCTTTGCATGATCCAAACAGCCATCCTATTCATTCAGGTTGACCAAGATTTGAAAGACTAATCTTTTTAAGATTTATTTATTTTTTGAAAGAGTTTACACGGAAGAGAAGGAGAGGCAGAGAGAGAGGTCTTCCATCCGCTGGTTCACTCCCCAGTTGGCCACAACAGCTGGAGCTGCGCTGATCCGAAGCCAGGAGCCAGGAGCTTCCTCCAGGTCTTCCCACATGGGTACAGGGGCCCAAGGACTTGAGTCATCTTCTACTGCTTTCCTAGGCCATAGCAGAGAGCTGGATGGGAAGTGGAGTAGCTGGGACTCGAACCAGCGCTCACGTGGGATGCTGGTACTGCAGGTGGCAGCCCATGGAAGACTAACCTGATATCTCAAGAGGTGGGCCAAAAAAAGAGGTGGGCCAGAGTTCTGATTGCACAGACGGTCGTAAGCTGCAAGAGGGTTGAAAATGGGAGGTGTCTTATGTTGAGGAAAGTATTTAGAATAGCAAAACAAGATGCTAGTTAAACATTTCCTTTAGTTTCATTCCCTTCTTTCGGCCCCTACTGCCTTCCTTATCAGCTGGCAGAGGCAGATCCTGCCCTACTCTATTCCACTAAACTAATGACCACTGTAATTCTTGAGCCTTGGTAGCCCCAGATCTCTGTTCTTAGGATCTCCAGAACAATCTCACTGGCGCATTCTGGACAAGAAATTTCTTTCTCCAAACGTCCTTGCCCACGTTAGCTGGAGCTTTTCTGAGGACCCTGCTTTTGTGGTCCCTATCTCCTGGAGCATGGATGTCCACAACAGCTGCCACAAGGTCAAGATGTGGCCAGCCTATGGGGTTAAGCTAGTCCTGCTGCCCTCTGCTGACCATAGTGGACTTGTCCTGTTTGTCAATCACTGGGGCAGGGCCCCTCTCCAAAGCCTGAAGTTTCTGCCCACTAACCCTCCTTCCTCAGCACTCCTGAACAGGGACCAAACCCTCCTATCTTTAAGAAGCATGGGATGAGGCCAACTTGCAACTTGCAGGTAGCATTTGCCCAGGTGAGTAATTCTGGTGTCTATCAACTGGTAATGGGTTGTTTCTGGGAAGAGCCCTGAAATCCGGTCAGAAACGTCTGAGTTCATCAATGTGGCCTGACTCTCATTCAATTTGTTGTCAGAAGGTGGTGCCCCTTGACCTTGTCCCACACATTGTGGTAGTTCCTATTTGGGGGCCATAAACAGCCCCTTGCTGGTGCATACTAAGTGGTTGGTACTACCATGATTAACCTGCTATAGCCCACTTGAAGTGGGAACTGAGAGTTGCAGAAATCTCAAACATCAGCACAAAGTGGACCCTTTGAGCTGAAAGTAAACAGGATTTGGAAAGATGCTGATGGAGGTGAAACCAGATATTCTGGCAGTAAAGGAGACTGGATTTAGATGCACCAATGTGCTGGGTTATTAAGGATCAGAAATCAGGCAAAGTTTTATTATATGTTCTATTTTATTGTATTGAGTCTTAGATTAGTCCCTGTGGCCCTTCCCTGCAACTATGCAGGCTGGTGGTGTGGAGTTTGGATTGTAAATCTGGGAGAATCTGCTGCTTCTTCACTGTGGAAGAGGCTTTTACAGATGGGTGTGTTCTAAGTGGTCTGCACATTGTCCCTGTTGACTGCGCAAATTACACAAAGATTATCAGGCTCAGATCACTGATGACTGCAGAGCAAGACTGGCTTAAGTTCGTGGAGCCCTCATCAAACTGGCAGTGATACTGGTCTCTCCAGGCAACTACTGAGATGTGATGGGAAGGGAGCTTTATCCCTTTAATATCTCATGTGAGTGTTCCCCTTAGAAAGGTTAGCCAAGTATCACATGAAAATTATTGTAAAAAAAAAAAAAAAACAAAAAAGAAAAAAGGAATTCTGGTAAGAACGGTAGTCCTCTCCTTCTTCCTGCCCCACAGTCTCATTGTCTGGAGACAAACACTTTCAGCTGTTTTAGTTGTTTCTAGTGATACATTCTTCTGTGTTCCAATGAGGCTAGTTTGCACAGGCTGACAGTTCTTAGTTGTTTGTTGTAGAAATGCATCCACTGATTCATTGTTAGGGTAGATGAGAATTGAATTTCAGCCATATAAGCTCCTAGCCCTCTCCCCTCCACTTTCTCCTCTCTTGCCACATAGCTAGAGCATGAGGTAGTGGTTTAGGCTTGAATTCCAGCTGCGGGGCTTTGGGCAAAGTGCTAGGCTTTCTGTACTTCAGTTGCCCTGCATAGAAAGCAGATGTTGACAAGTATAGTCCATAGGTATATGGGAGGATTGAGTGAGTCAAATACAAGCCTCTCAATACAAATGCATATCAAGGAATCTGTGAGCTACGCTTCCCAGGTGCTCCCCCAGGAGCCCCCCGTTCACCTGCGCTGTCTGGTCCATCTGCTGTCTCTGCCAGCTTCACAACAACTCTCTCAGAACTGCCTCCAGCATCAGCCTCACGATCCTGCTTCTCATCTGTGTTGAATCCCATTTTCTCAATCGCTCTTTCTTGGTTTACTTTCTCACTTTGGTGGAGAACATCCTGTAGTAGCTTCCACAGAAAGGTTCATAGAAGGTGAAATTTTTGAGATCTTATAAACCTAAATATGTCTTTTTCCTACTCAGCAGCAGGGTGAGAGAAGAGGACTTTCTAGTAGGGAGACATTTAGCTAACACTTGTGTTTTTAGGATCTATACTTAATGCTGGTCTCTGCTGTGTCTTATTCCCTGGGGCTTGGACTCTGTCGACTTCTTCAGTTCTTTCTCTAGAAAACAGGGGTACTATCATGGTTGTAAGTATGAATTGACTAAATCCATTCTGCACATGTCCTGAATGCAGTAAATGCCCAGTAAGTGGTAACTTACTGCTTTTAATCATTAACGTTTTTAGCTTATTAAACGTAAGTACACAGGTCATCTAAAGGCAGCAGTTATTATGCTAGTGGAATGCTGCTTTCTAGAAGATACAGAAAAGAGAAAGTGCTTCAAGCTTTTAGTGAAATTAAGTGTACCGACAACTATTTTGTGATAGTGAAGAAAAAGGGATCTTTGCACTTAGCCCTTTAATATCGCGTCTCTGCTTGTTCATACTCTGTTCAAAGTGTTTGTCCCTTTCTACTAAACCTTGGTGAATTCTGTGCTAAAAATACTCCATTTCCATTTGGTGCAGCAAAATGTCATATCCATGGAACACCAACATACCAAATGCTTCCTGCAGATCCTCAACCCAGCAAACCAAGTTCACAGGAAATTGTGTTTGTCCTTGGCTTGTTCATACTGCACATCTAAGCAGATTATTTGGAAAGATTGTTGGGGTCTTGATTATTACCTTAGAGCTATCTTAGAACTATGAAAATAAAGAACTCACCTACAATACAAAAGGTGGTATTGCATTGGGATTTCCAAACCTCGAAGCTGTTTCCCTACCCCCACCCCCACCCCCACTCCGCCCCAGTATTATAACAGTGAGTTACAGAATTTTCAGAGCTAGAAGGGACCTTTAGAATGATGTGGCCCAGTTCCAACATCTTACAGAAAATTGGGGCCCAAAGAAACTTGAACGTCTTAGCCAGGATAATAATTAAAATCAGTACATCCCAGAGCCCTTGGCCAATTTCTAACACTAGGCTTGGTGTTCTTGACATTGCTACTGGTCCAATGTGGTGGTTTATTTCAGAGGCTCCCCAACCTTGTTTAGTCAACGTCAGAATCACCCAGGGGAGACTGGAAAATAAAAATTCCTAGATTCCATTTTTAAAATTAATTTCTAATAAGTTATTAATTTTTGATAATTTCTAATGAAAGCTAGGAAAGGAAAAGTCCTGGGCCACTGAGCAGCCGCGAAGATTTTACTCTTCAGAGCCAAGCCGCAGGTGACGACAGCAGGGAGCGAGGGCAGCTCCTGCTGCCCTTGCCAGATGGAGATTGATCGGAAATAGAAGCACATCCGGGAAGAGAGC